AACTTTGGCTGCCGAGGGAGTTATTATATTCCTTTTATTTACTTTCTCTTCGTCTCTTCTGTAGTTAACCGTTACTTTTCTTTTCCTTCTCCGCTCACCCTCACACACCCGACAGACAGTTCCGCTACACACACCGGCATACATTTCCCATCAGGCTTCACCCTTAAAGGACCATGCCTGTAACACACGCAAAAGATGAACCGCGCAGAATACAGCGATTAAAGTCGATCGCCAAGTTAAATGACGCCGTGTCAACACGCGGGGGGGGGCGCTGTATTGAAAAGCAGAGGCGGGGGGCACGCGCACACCCTCAGCATCCCATTGGCTGCGAAAATTTTCCAAGTGTGGTCGCTCACCGGCTGCTCCCGACTCTAAGTGTTCACTGCATCTCTGTCTGACTGCGGGTGGAGAGCTCGTCATGCTGAGGAGCGGCACGTACAGGTTAGTAACCCGCGTAGCGACTCGCCTTAGTCCCAAATGTAAAGCAGCAGTGATTGTTATTTCGGTTAAACGGGAAGCTCCGGTAACGGCTGCTTCAAGCACTGATGAGTGATTTTAAAACCCTACGTATCGGTACTCTCTGCAGCTGGACACAGAGTACAGGCTCCTCGCATGTCGAGAGATTCTGACATATTTCATATTTTTGAGAGTTTTGCACTCTAACTTGAGTGATGTCCTTCCAGAAATGTTCACCAAGGAGAGGAGGTGAGACTGCGCAGCGGGAGTCTGGCACGGGAGAGGAAGCACCTTGCTCTGTGCATCAATAACCAGGTAAGATGCAGGCTGTTAGTATTGTTGTCATTACTGTAAAATAGATTATATATAATTGTCTGGTGCTGGGAAAGTCATGTCTGTGGATGGATGACAGACTGTTTTTTTTTTTTCGGTGAGGGAACAGTTCAGTAATGATGTCATTCACTTTGTCATTCTTTTTTGGAGCGCTAAGTTGACGCTTTCACTGCTGGGCACCACACACTTCTAGGAGAGGAGAGAAGACGGTGTATGTTGCAAACATCTATTAAAAATGTCTTTCATTATCCGCTTTTGGACTTCTGTTGCACTTTGGAAAGACATTAGAAAAGCACCAACATTATGCACAATGGAAAATCTTTTCCAAAACTATATTAAAGCCGTTTTTCTCCCTTGCTCTCTGAGTGCTTTGAATTCTGCTTCCCTTATTCACCATTTAAAATGGTAAAACTGACTGAGTTCAGTTTGGTTTAGGAAATTGCTTTTTTTATGTTGGCTCGGGGCCACTCAAAGATTATCGTTGTGGCCGCAACTAAAAAAGGTCTCATTAATACTACATATAGCGCCCTTCATTATAAATGACTTCATTTTCAGAAAGAAATAGTCATATTTCTATAGCCATAGTTGAACTGCTCAGCTGAATGGGGCTGGCATGTGTTCCTCATTGCAATGAGTCCTGAGCTCATGTATAGGGTTTAATAGCTCTGACATCTGGTTTGAAAGGAGCAGTTGTTGCAGTTGACTTGCTAATGTAAATTCTGTTCTGCTCGAGTCATCTTTAACAGACTGTTTCCATTGTGTGCTCGAGGTGAGTGTATAGGTGCACAAGTTCACCTAGGTGTAGCGAGCCCCTGAATATTTAATGTCGGTGATGTAGTGTTGCGCATTATTGGTGGCTGGGGATATTGAGCCTGTGAGATCTGAAAGCAGAGTTCCATCATACATTTTTCACTTACTCTGCAATATGGTGGTGGTGCCCCCCCCCCCCCCCACCCCCAGATTCAAAATCTTGTATTTCACATTTATACGCTATGGATCACAGAGACTTCCCCCCCCCCCCCCCTTTTTTTATTTCACATCCTCCAACACTTGCTCATTTTGACTTCAGATTTTATCCTGATGTGTTTCTACTGCGCGACCTGACAGCTGAATTTCATCATCACTTTCCCAAAAATGACATTTCTAAATTGATCTAGCTCAGCTCTGTGACATGCCACGTCAGGGTGGATTCATGCAAGACTGCTGAGGAGGACGTAAAGAAGCTCGGTGAAGGACCAATCAGTAATTGGCATTAGATATATATGAGTGAGGATACAAATGTGGGTTACTGAGGCTGCTCCACTGGCTCCGTGTGCATGAGTGATTCAGATTCATTGCCGAGGTGAGAACCCCGTGAGAAGCGCATTAATCTATCTAGCTATTACCCCGTAATCAATGGAAAAGCTGAATTTTATGGCTATGGGTCCGTGTTGCTAATCATTTTACAGAAAGATTATTTAAGCAGCATGCCAATGGGGTCACATCTAATGGGGTTAAGTATAAAATATAAAAGGTGGAATATTTGATGCACCACTCACAGTTGGAATTTTGAAATCTGTTACCAGTATCATGCATGAAACTTATAATTCAATAAAAATCAAGAAAAAAATGTCCCAGTGTGCAGTCTTTTTAATGAATATATTCAACGGGAGCTGAATATCCATGGATTTCATTCAGATCCTGTACCGCGGTACAGGGCAACAACAGAGTCTTGCATTTTAGGCACAACTGCAGTATTCTGTTATGCAGAGGGTTGTACACAGTACGAGTGTGGTGCCAGGGAAGGGTGTCATATTTCAGAAGTGCATTACTGTATCTCCCTGAGTGGGACAGAGCAGCGCTGAGTGCTGTTTGCGCTAGCTCACTCAAAGGCCCAGCGATTGAGTTGTAATGATGTGGACGAGCAGCATGAGCTTGCACGCTGACGGACAGATGTGTTCTTTGCCAACCCCAGTGTTCGTATTCACACTGGAATTTAGTGCCACAGGTAAATAAAAAAAACACCTCTCCCCACCTCACGGTAAAACACACAAATATCTGCCAGTTCTGTGGTGATTTCCATCTCATCCCTTTAAAATGTCCCTGAAGGCTGGTCAGGTCTCAAAGTGTGAGCTTACGGTCTTTGATCACTGAAAGAAGCCCCCTTACCGATGATGGCCTTGTCTATATGCACTCAGAACTTTCCTCACCATATGTTAACCGGAGCAGCTCTCCGCTGGTTAATAGTACCGGCTGGGGAATACTCCCAAGTGCTCCATTTTGCATTTTGATGGGGTGTGTGATCATTTTCTCTCACCTCCTTCATCTCTTTTCATCACACCCCACCCACTTCATATCTTCTTCTTCTATTGCATTTTCTTTTGAATAACCCTGTGCTCACTTCTTCTTAATTGATAGGCTCTTGCTTCCCTCATTGTACCTCACCATTTTCAGCTTCTTGAATGTTCTGCATTCTTCACCGCAGTGCCATATGCTCAACACAGGCAGTTTTGAAGGCTCATATCGAATAAAGTATATTCTGAGTGCATCAGTGCGAAGGAGACGAATCTGCCGCCCAACCAAAACAGCTGGTCAGCAGAAAATTGACAAAACTAACAGTTTTGAGATCTGTCATCACGTGTCGAGCAGAATTACCTCGCAGCAGCAAAAGACGGCAGATCAAAAGAGGAACAGATAGTTAAAATATGTGCCTGTTCAGCCTTAGTGTAAATGCTGTGTAATGGCTCTTCCATTAGAGTCATTTCTTTTGATTTATAGATATTAAATCTGTGGATGTCTTTCAAATAAATAGGTATGTATGAGGGTTTTTTTTTAAACTTTTTAATTACAGCCCTTCATCTACTTTTTTTGTGTTGCTGTACCTGATTTGCTTCTTCTAGCTTTACTAGATCTACTCCAGCCAGATATTGATAGCTATGTAAGTACAGCAGCCTAGGATTTATGAGAATGTATACATTCAGCTGCACCTGCCAGTTAAAGGTCTCTACATGTTATAATATAATCAACATGTAACTATTTTCACACGACACTTTCATTTGGATTTGTTTGTCTTTTCTTTTTTCTCTCTCCTAGTTTTCTCGTACCCCTTTCTCACCTCTTAAAGGATATAAAGCTTTCTATATAAACACATTTATTGCCACTCTTTTACTGCATAGCTATAATACTAAGAGAAAACAAGATTTCAAATTACGTAATCACAGAAACACCTCAGTAACACTATCATCTCTCTGAATGCTTCTTTTGTACTTGGGGACTCAGACGAAAGAGTAAATGTTGACTTCCATATTACTCCTCTCATGCACTGCGCATGTAAATTGATTTCCAATGTCACAATTAATGAGCACCTCCAGTGGTACAGCCCTCTTGATTGGGTATTTCCTCGGGCTGATCGGCAAGTCGAGCGACAGCTAAAGAGTCAATAGTGTAATGCAGATGTTTCGGCGCATCAACACACTGTAATGAAATCCTCTGAGATCAGACTGAGGTGTATATGTGCTTGCATACATGCTGCTGTGCACGTATGCAGGTGCATTAACTGTTCTAGTGCAGTGTTTGTGTCCACGGGCTTGTGGAGGGGGGCTTTATCCTGTGGAGAGACAATGCTAGACTGAAGGGCACAAAGGCCCGACCATCTCCCACAAGTGTTTTGTGTACGTGTGCAAGTGTTTTAGTGTGGCCGTTCAGTGGTGCCTGCCATCGATCTTTGTGATAGAACTAGGACGCTGAGAAATAATGATTTTAATAACTCATCAATTAAAGGGAAGCAGACTTTCTGCTATGTGCTGTTGTTTTCTCTCCCCTTTATCCCACTTTTCCATCCATCTCCCATTTTTCAGCAACTTAATGCTTCACTTTACCTTGCATCCAAGTCTATTGATTGCCCTTATTTTGCTATCGAAAATAATGTGATAAACTTGTTTACATGCACAGGAGCAGCAGGTTTCACTAATATCCCCGTTTCTATGCAACCATGTATTCAGGTGTTGATTTAATCGATTGCCCTATAGACTGCAAGCAATATCCCTCCCTTGATATTTCTTATGTAATTGTAGAGCATTTTATCTCGTTCAGAAACCCAAGAGATTACAGTTGGTGGTGAATAAATAGTAGCTGAAAAAACAACAACAACAAAAAAACATAGCTTTAGTAAATATTAGTAACTAATAATTGTCTCTTTAAGCTGTGATTTGTCAGCTGATCTTTATCATAATCAGTATCATGAAGAGTAATTATTTCTCATCTCAGTAGTATCCATATATTTTAGCATATCAAAATTTTTATATTAACAAATATTGTATAAAATATGCTAACACATTCATTCCATTTAACACTGCCATTGCCATTAGTCATGGATTCTTATGTTGGCTAGAGCATCTGGATGGAGTCTTCATTTGATACGGCATAACACTTGTTGACACACTTATATTTTAAATCCTTTGCCTGGCATCTTGAACACTTAATCCATAATTGGCTTTGGTTGGTAGATATGCATAAACATTTAGAAGAGTCAAACTATTACAGTAACAGCACACAATGCCTGTACTACATGTACCGAAATGTGCAAAACATACAGAAAATGAATGTGCTGTGACACAAAATGTTGCTCAAAAGATTTGATTTTGTATGTATTGAATGCAAAAGGCTGCAGTTGAAATTATGAACTTTAGAATGTCTGGCCTGAGAATATGTTCCAAAGTAGTCTTTTTCTTTCCCCAACAAGTATAGTATAAGTTTGTGTGGTGATGTTCAAACTGGGGTTTGTGTAGTAGTTCTGTAACTGGACAATGCCAAGACTACATACTTTAAATAGTTTCTTGTCATCTCAATGGGCATATTGTCATCTAGAAAGAATAAAATTTGGAAACACAGGTTTTCCCAGACCTTTCAAAAGTACATTTTGTCTTTTAAACTCAACAGAATGAGTTGTATGAGAAACACTGACATATGAAGTTCACACTGCCACAGGTGATCGTTTATACATTTTATGTGTATTTTAGTGTAATAGAAAAAATATTTGTTGGTTTGTCTGCAAACTACTCCCACACAATCAGTTGTGCAACCAAACTTTTCACACAGGTATCTAAAAGGCCCCTAAAGGTTCTTACAAGGTAATCATGTTGCCTAGCAACCACTATCAAGCAATGATGCATTAGTAGTGTTTATGCACCTATAACGCCTTATAAAAGAGTTGTATCATTTTAATTTCCTTGATTTAGCCAGGTTTATTTTTATACTCAATGTTGATATTTCTACATTTTACAATTTAGAGTATGAATATTATGTTACATCATTTGGCACATTAATTTGTGAAGTAAGGTTTATTGTATTTAAAGATGAGAACAAAAATGTAAAGTTGGATGAATAACTAGATAAATGTATTTAAGGCGTGTGAATTAGTTCAGCCTACAAAAATCACCATTTTTCCAGACGTATTGCCAGTCCCAGAGCATTCGGCATAAAATCGAAATCAATCAAATCATCAAGAATGAGCTTTCCATACCAAATTGGTCATGGTCTGGTTTAACAACAACTGCCTCCAGTGCTGTTAACTATCAGGATGCAAACTGTGGTCCTGTTGGCCAAAGACAAAGGAAGAAGCGAGGCTGAAAGTGTGTTCTGAGCCAGAACAAGAGAAACGAAACGAAAAGAAGAGGCTGGAATATGGAGATGAGACTAGGGATTTTAAATGTAGGAACCATGACAGGAAAAGGGAGAGAGTTGACTGATATGATGGCGAGGAGGAAGGTAGATGTATTGTGTTTGCAAGAGAAAGGCTCTGGGTAGTGAAGAGTTTCCAGATGACTGGAAAAATACAGATGAAGCCGTAAAGGACACTGCCAAAAAGGTATTTGATTCTTTACAGAGGAAAGAAGACAAGGAATTGAGGAAAGTATTCAAAGGAAAAGGTTAGAAAAGATAAAGTCTGATAGGCTGGGAGAGGTAACAAAGGAAAAAGCTTATAGTGAAATGTGTATGAGGTTGAACACTAAGGAAGGAAAACTTGTATTGATTGGCGAGATGGCTGGAAAGGATGTTAGGGTGGTTACAGATAGAGATGGGAACTAACAAACGAAGGAAGCGTGTTGAAAACAAGGAAGGAGTACTTTGAGAAGCTGATTAATGAAGAAAATGAAAGATGGGGACAAATAGAGAAAGGTTAGTGCAGGAAGTGCAGAAGATTTGTAAGGAGGAAGTGAGGACAGCTATGAAGAGATATTGTGCTGTTTGCTGAACCCTTAGTTTATTAGTATGTTCTAAAATATATTTTATCTTCAGGGTCTGCAATGAAATTATCTAAATAATTTGTGAACTGGATAAAACCTCCAAACCAACACCTTTAAACTTGATCTTAATCTAATACCTGTTTCAAATTTGTATGGAGTCCTGGCAAAGTCGGTATCGACTTTGCAATTGCAGTATTGTGACAAGCCTAGTAATAACTACAGAGAGATAAAGTTGATGAGTCATACCATGAAACCGTGGGAATAAGTGGTTGAAGGGAAGGTTAAGGACAGGGGTGATGATCAGTGAGCAGCAGTATGGCTTCATGCCGTGAGAGTACTATAGATGCAACTTTTGCTTTAAGAATTTTGATAGAGAAGGTGAGAGGGGTTTTTTTTGTGTCTTTGTGTATCTAGCGAAGGCTTATGATAAGGTATTAAGAAAGGAACTGTGATACTAAATGAGAAAATCAAGAGTGGCAAAGTGTGGTGCAGTACAGCGAGACATCAGTGAGGTGTACGGTAGAAGTGTCAGTGAAAGTTCAAGGTGGGGGTGGGTGTAAGCTCAGTGATGAGTGCTGAAGCCCTTCTTGTTTGTGGCAGCGATGGACATGTTGACAGATGATATTTGCAGACAACACTGCCGTGTCTAGTGAGAGTGGGGAGCAGATAAGGAGAGCCTGGAGAGGTGGAGGTATGACCTGGAGAGAAGAGGAATGAAGTCAGTAGAAGCAAGACAAAATACATATGTGAGAATGAAAGGGAGACAGGCAGAGTAGTAAAGATGCAAGGAGTAGAGGTAGTGAAGGTGGGTGAGTTTAAATGTCTGTGGCAGACCATTCAAAGCAACAGACAGTGAAAGAGACAAGTGAAGAAGAGGTGGAGAAGAGCTGCCAGGGTTGTTTTTTAACAGAATAAAAGCAGCAAGAGTGAAAGGAAATGTTTACAAGATTGTGGTGAGACCTGCTATGACCTACTGTTTAGGAGAGTGGCTCTTCTTAGCGGATACCCGGCTAGTTGGCACCTGCATACGACATATGCTGCTATGCATCAGCATTATTCCAACTTACAAATCTGTGTTAATCAAGTGACTCAAATATGCGCCCTTATTTGAGGTTAGAAGGGACTGATAGCAACAACAAATTATAAATCACCTGATTTGACTCAGTTATGTAGCTATGCCAGGCAGTATGTGTGTAGGTGTTATTAATTACACATACAGATAGATATACTACAGATTTATTATCATACAGCTTTTCCACTGTCATATGCTTATTCCATTAACACTGAGAATTATAGACCATGCTGACATATTGATGTTTTTCAACTGCCAGGAAGAAGTGAAAAGGTATCATCGCTACTGCAACCACAGCAGAGGCCAAGCTGTTCAAAAGATAGAAAGGTGAGACCCTGTACAGAAATCTGCCTGTTCTTAAATGAGCAAAAACCCCCAAAGCACACGGCATTCTCCACAATAGGAAAATGCAATGTTGGATTTTAAAGCTATCAGAACCATTTTGCCATAACAGCACTTTATTTCACAATTCCAAAAAAATTAGGCAGCTGTGTAAGATGTAAATAAAAAAATGAATGCATGAATCTGCAAATCTTATAAAAAATAAAATTGAACACAGATTTAAAAGAATGTACCATGTACCTTTTAGCATTGATGGTACCTTTCCACATATGCAAGCTGCGACTTTCATAGGCACGTGTGCCCCCCATACCATCAGAGATGCAGGCATTTGAACTGATTGCTGATAACAAGCTGGTTCTTCTTCTGTACGTACACATGTATTCTTCTTTAAATGTTCCTATGTTGGAATTCTGTCATGACTTCCATGACAGAATCATCTGTTTTTAATACAGATCTGCCTGAAGAACCTGAAGCTCATTGACATTCCAATATTGACTTTAGGCTGTGTCTCTTGCACATAGAGATTTCTCCAGATTTTTGGAATGTTTTAATAATATCATATAATGCAGATGATGAGATATTCAATCATTGCAAATGCCGAACATTATTCTAAAACAATTCAACAATTTGTGCATGCATGTTTTTGCAGATTAGTGAGCATCTGCCATCTTTATTTTTGAGAAACTATGGGTCAAATTACTTACCTGTTACGAGTTAGTCTAATTAGTTACATTACCACTTAATTTTCCAACCTTTGTTTGCCCTCATGCCAGCTTTTTGAGGCATTTCCATCAAAGTGGGATATTTTTCTTTAAATGTGGATTTATGACATTTGCAAAACATTGTTTGCTTTTATGTATGTTTTTGAAATTGGGGTTTCACTAGCCTAGTATCTGCAGTAACCCCTGCAGTAACAACTTATCATTTTTTAGATGATTTGCATACACCATGTTCTGTGTTGATGCCAGTATTTATATTTCCAACCTCACAATTATTCTTTATCTGCACTGTTATTGTTGTAGAAGTTGTCCACGTAGGAGTGAGATGGAGGACGACAATAGCCTTCACCGCCGTGATCAACAACAGCACCTAGAGATAAAGGCTGCTGTGTGAGTATCACTTTTGGCTGCTTTATGTATCATTATGATTATTTGTACAATACCCAGTCATAACAATAGATTCTTACAATATGAAAGGCTTTCATTTTGAATGTCATCCATGTTCAGTTCCTTTCAATTCATTCTGTTCTTTGGGGTCATGGACTTGTGGGGTCAAGGGTCACTTAGAAAGCATTAACTCTTGTCAGCTTTCATCTACGCAGTTACACACTTGTAGGTGCGACAGGGAAGAACAGCTCTGGCTTCAGGCTCTCACTTCATTGGAAGCCAAGGATAGAAAAAAAAACTATTTCTCTATAGGACAAAAAAACGTTGACAGATAAGGAAAAAGTGTTTGGATGAACTCAGAGAAAAGTCAATGAAACAGGAATACACGGAAATGGAGAGACTGAAAAAGCAAAGGGAGAAGAAAAAGGAGAAGCGAAGGAAGAAGAAAAGATAGTGGCTTGGAGCTAGAAGATGTGGTTTAATTCAATTTGTTCCATTTGCCTCAGCTGTCTCTCTGCTCCACTGGAGGTGAATGTGTTTCTCCATCGGGTAATTGATCCTACACTCCATCCTGGAGTCTGCTGTTGAGGTGACTACTGGGATGAAAGTGAGCGGAAAGTGAAAGATGGAGAGAAAGCTGTCTGTAGGTTGGAAACATAGGCTGGGAGAGGACAAGGTAAAAGGAAAACATAGACAAAGTTAAGCAAGAAACTGAAGAGAAAGATGTTTGAGAATGGTCAAGAAGAAGAAGTTGTCTTGGAAATTCAAAGAGCTAAATAAGAAGATGAGTTAAAGAAAGAGAGACAGAAATCTGGTGTGATGCACTTGTTTACTTAATATCTTGCATCTTGGCAATATTCCTTCAGTTTTATGAAGAAACAGAACTGGAAGTGAACTATTTCACTTCCAGTTCTGTGTTGACTGTGTTTGTGCTTTTTTGTTTGTTTGATTTTTTGGTGAGCATTCAAATTTAAGTTAACCTTTATTCATAATGATAGCAAATTTAAAAAAGAAGAAGCAAGAAACCTGTTTTGGCTCAGTCTTACAACTATGCCAGACAGAAAGTATATATACTTACACATATACTGCAAATTCATTATTGTATGCTACCATACAAGAACAAGCCCAGCAGTACTGCAGATGTGCTTAAAGCTCTGCACCAAAGCTGTTAAATGTGATAAAAATTAAGTGATCGGAGAATAAAGAATGAGCTGTGTTACATTTCTTTAATGGGTAATTGTTAGACTTACTTCTTTACGCCTTCTTAGGTATTTCAATGCTCTCCAGCCACTTTGTTAAGTAAACTGAATTACTGCCAATCACGTGATACCAACAAAGGTATTTCGAGGTTGGTTGACCTCCTGAAGTACAAATCATGTATCAGAAAAGGTAATAATGGGATTTGATTTGATTCAGAAAATTTTAAACTACTTCACATTTATCTCAGGTTTATGGTCAGACAAAGAGAAAATAGTGAATATCTGTTGATGTTAAAGGAGAATAGACAGACTGTTGATCTTACAGTAATGCTACAGTAACAAAAATAAGAAATTTTTACAAACAAGGTATCAGAAGAGCATTTGTGAATGCACAGCATATCCAACCTTGAAGCAGATGGGCAGCAGAAGACCACACCGGGTGACACTCCTGTTGGCTAAGAACAGGAAGCTGTGGCTACAATTCACACTAGCTCACAAAAATTGGACAATAGACGACTGGAAAAACGTTCTCTGGACTGACTCTTTCTGCTGCATCAATGAGATAGTAGAGTCTTAATTTATGTAACACATGAAAGAAACAATTCAGGTGGGTAGTCCTGGTGTAATAGCGTGGGATATATGACATTAAGTTTACTGTACTCAAATGGCCTCCACAGTCACCAGATCTCAATCCAGTAGAGGACTTTTTGGATGTGGTAGAATGGGAGATACAAACCATGGATGTAAAGCTGACAAGTTTGTAGCAACTGAACACTATCATGTCAGTATGGACCAAAATGAGGGATGTTTCCAGCTCCTTTGTGAATCTATGCCATGAAAGAGTCAAGAAAATGTTTAAGACAGATTGGTGTCCAACTCTGCACTAGCCATATATCTAATGAAGTGTCCAATGAATGTTGTTGTCTTTTTTACATTATTTTTCTTATTTTTAAAGTGAGTAAGAAAAAACAACACTTGCTTGCCTTTGGTTATGGCAGCACAACATTGTGTATTTTATGCTCAGCAGCTATCACTCCAACAATCGTTCATCAAACATCCTTGAAGCAAATACTTAACATGGCTTCTAAAAAGTTTCAGCAAAACCATTTCCTTTCACGAGGAACTCCAAAATTTAACACCCTTTTTTAAAAAAAAATGCAAGATGTCTCAATAAATACATTTTGCTGACTTATGTCACCAGGATCCAGCGTGCCTGGCGTGCCAGTATGTCCCGTAGAGAGAGCTGGCAAGCACAAGACAAGAACCGAACCAATGATCATTGGAGAGAGACTGTGCCTTCAGAGAGCCTCCAGGAACCTGTGATGACCACCAATATTTCACCGGTGAGACTGCGAAAACAAAATCAGACAGCCATATGGTGTGACATGAGAATGAGCCAAGTGCTCAGAGATGTCTTGAGTGAGTGATCAGCGGTGATCTGTTGTTACAGTAGAGAATGAATAACAAATGGGGGGAGAGGATGCACGGATGGGTAGACTAACAAAGACGAGAGTAAAAAAGAGGGAGCGAGGGAGGGATGTTTACCTCTAGTGTCATTTGGGGGACTGCAGGGGTGTAGGTGGATGGGATGCCAGCTGGCACTGTGCCCAGATCTGTAATTAGCCGTTAATTAGGTAAATTTTCAAAGCTGGTTGATTGATTAATGAAGTGCCTATGCCCTTGTCCTCCCCCATCTTACCCCCACACTCCCCCCAATCTCCTCAGGGAATGTGGGGGAGCATTAAACAATGCTCACAGGGCATGGCAGCCAAACAAAAGCCAGAGAAAAAAAATAACTGCATAAGCAGCAGCTGATAAACAGCGAGAAGACAAGGAGAAAAGAACAAAGACAGTCAGAAGCAGATGCAGAGATAAGGAGATGATTGCAGAGATGAAAAAAAAAGATGCTTTTAGATCGCCTCAACTTCTAAGTGACACATGTGGACGCAGAGGCGCGCACATTAGTCTGCTGCGCTGATTCCCCAGTCTGTGTCGGCTCTCACAGTTTAGTAATCACACTGAGCCACACACACACACAAGCTACCCGCGCACTCCTGCCCACGTTCTTTGCAGAGACTCAGCACAGGGAAAAAAATGATGTCATGTCTCCGTACTCACTAGTGTGTGTGGGTTGCATTTGTTTCCCACTCTCTTTTTAAGCAGTGTTAGAGGAAGCAAGAATCCCTTAGCAAACAGATGGGCTAGTATCCTGGTGAGACTCAGTGAGTGTGTGCATGTGCTTTGTTTATTAGGTTGTTTGTTCTGGTTGAAAGAGTTTGTTGTTCATTAAACAGCAGCAAAGTGTCTCGCTAATTAGAAACTTGCTGTAACTTAAAAACCAGGATGACAAAGAATCCCCTCTCTTCTTGAAAAATCAAGTATGTTACTCTTCACTATTGCAATATATTTAATAAATAAATATATTTTTTTATTTGCAAATTTTATGTTAAAATATGCTGGACTCATGAAAACGATGGACTGTATTATGCTGCTAACACTTTAGTCCTATATTATAATAAATTGTTATACAATTAGAGGAGACGTTGAATCGAGTTAAATACTTTTACCTTAATTGTGGCTGTTAATGTTATTTCACATCGACTGAACAATTGAAATACTTGTAATATCACCAAGCAGCCCACACCTATGCACGCTGGGGCTGCTGGTGTACTGTTGTTAAGTAACGCTTAGTCAGTCTTTTCCTCCACTACTTCAAATTGAATGGTGTAAAGTTTACCAAAAAATATCTTTCGAGATTAAACACTCACTCTTGCTGAGAGTGTTTACTGTGAGTCACTCACTCCCCAATCTGCCTTACCTTTTTCAGTTTGAAGCTCTATTTTGGTGGAGTAATGCTGGACAAGCTGTGCTGAACCTTTGCCCTCTGTACCGCCTTGCCTTGCCTTCTCTTGCACCTCCGCCCACAGCACACTACACTCTTAACTCCATTTTTTTTCTTCCCCTCTCTGCCTTGTCACCACTCTCTCTGCATCTTTTTCTCTCTTGCTTCGTCTGTCCTCATTCAGACTGTATCACTCTGCTGTGGCTCTTGTGGTCGCTGAAGGACAGACATTCATCAGCATAAGGCCAGGGTGCCATGCTATGTGTGTGCGTTTGTGCATGTATGTTTGTGTGGTTCTTCATGTTGGCTCATGTGGGCTTGAAGGACCTTGCTGCTGGCCTGTAGGGGAGGGGGGAGGTTCAAACATACTTCAATATCATAGTTCCATGAAATATGCATGAACACACACACATAGAGGAGACACTGCAGCACTGTGGTTTTTCCTTCTTTACTTCTTCCAACATTGGAAAACCTCCTAGATTCAAGCTCACCTTCCCAGTACCTCCCAGACCCTCAGCTCTCTCGACCTCCTTGAAACAAGATGTTACATCTCAAGGGGTTTATCCAGATACAACAAATTTCAAGTACTTGTACTACAGTTGAATATTTCCATTTTATGTTTCTTTTTTTTTAAAACTTCTGATGGGCACACAGGCTCACAACTGACTGGTTGCTACACATAGCCCATGCGTCATGTAATGATGACTTCACCTCCACTTAGCCCATACACTTGTATTAATTAAAACATGGACATTTGAGGATCAGTAAATGAACCTTTCCTCCCAAGGATAGTCAGCTGTTTGTCATGAAACACATCTTTTTTTCTCCAGATGATCCCCCTTGGGGGCACCACACACACACACACACACACACACACACACACACACACACACACACACACACACACACACACACACACATTTATATATATATTTTATTCAAAGTTAAAAAATCTCAGTCTCTGGTTTTCTACTTCCTGGTCAACTCCACTGACTTCCTTGACCACATGAATTGTCAGGTTCAGAACAACAAACCTTTTTTTTGTTGAGCTGGCCTGAGTGTACTCCATATTAAGCATGCAGTTACCAATCGTCATTTAACTTCCAGAAACAGTACTTAAAACACTGGTGTCCACTAAAGTGCTTAACATGCTGAAGGCAAAACCATACTATTACAAGTCATGTTTCTACCAGCCTTCGGGCTAAACTAACATTCTGTCTGTAGACATATCTGGGCAAATTTGAGAACTTACCTGGGAATTGATTAGCTTCACTTTTGAATGCTGATGAGGTCGTGTGGAGCAGTGAAAGCAGAGATGCTAATTCAGTGATATATAACAGATCATTATCTGCAAGCTGGAAACAAATTATGTCTCTGTGCTCCCGCTTTATTTGACCATAATTGTAGACTAGTATTAGGTACCTTGTACAGTTTGTTCTGCATTTCAAATATGCTTTAAAAAGTTTATGTGTACATTTACATTTGAGCATCTATATGTGCTGACTTGATTGCACGAGTAGATCCCCATGATTCACAGCAGAGTGTGGCCCTCTGGGATGGTTTGGTGAGGTTCGTTCAGTCGCACAAACCGAAGATCAAAGCCAAAGTGTTGAGATGAGAATGGAGATAAAACGCTTCAGCTCGGTTGCTGTCATTGCAGAGGAAAAGATACAGCTGGTGGGCTGCCTGATGAAATGATTTAAGTGATGTATAGTTAAGAGGTGAATAGGACTGTGAGGAGAAGGATGAAAAAGAATAAAAAGCACAGAGCTGACTGTATTAAAAAAAAGATAAATTACATAACATCCTCTATGCTTAGCTGCATTCAGCTTGTGCGTCCATGGCTGCTTGTCTGCTAACTGTGTTTGTGGACATTGATCTCCTACTGGCTCTGTGACATGTTTGCACTTTTCCCCTTCCTTTTGTTCAGCCCAGGTGGAGGGAAAGTGTCACTGTAAGCATTTCTGTAGCCTGCGTGGGAGATCACTCTCTCATCTCTCACCGCCAAGAATCCAAAGCAAAGTGACGTCTTCATCTATGCCTCCACCTCTACCCTACTTAATCCCTTTTCCCCACCCTCACTCTATGTCATCCCTTGCTTTCCCTCCCACTGCCTTTCCATGCACAGTTACACATTCACATTCACAAATGCACCCTATGCCCTCCCCCTGCCGTGCATACACACACGTGCGCACACACATCCCTTGGTGTTTCTCCTGACAAATTCTAACAAATGTTTTATTGGTGTCAGTTGGTGTCTCATTTGAATTGAATTTATACACCTCTGCTCCAGAGTTGACATCGATCGGGTTTAACTCATTTAATAGCCATGACATTTGCCTATTAGCTTATTTACTGTCAAAACAGGCCCAGGCTCAGCTGGCTTCCTGAGAGACACTAACTCTTGCATTTGTATCCGTTAGGGAAGAAAATGTGATTGCTTGTGCAAAATATAAACTCAAGAAGAATGTTCAGCCCTGAAATACACACAGAGATGGACTAAAATGAATGTGCTTCATCTACAGTTAGGTGCATAATTTGTTGAGAGTTTTGTAGCTTGCATCTGTACACCACCACAGTGCTTCTTAAATCAAGCAGTCTGCATGTGATTGAAGTGCTGACTTTCCTTTTTAATTACAGCCATATTTATACATCATCCTCCATTTTCTGAGGTTCAAAAGTAATCGGACAAGCTAACATAATTTTAAATGCAAGAAATGTTTTTAGTTCTTGAATAAAAATGATTTGTCGTCAATGTTTGCCTTAAGTCTAGAAACTATGCATACTTATAAACAATGTGGGTTGCACAGCATGCACAAGACTAAGCTTATAAGTGAAGCTGTGAAATAGCCACTGATTTTGTGAATGCCCAGCGGGAAGCTATCTTAAAAATTCATCTTGGCTATGTGACAGTGAGATAAAATGAAGAGAAGAGAAGGCTAATTTCTCCAAAGGCAGAAAGAGAATGATGGATGACTGAAAATCTGAAAGGATTAGGAGTTAGAAGGTAGATAAGATGCGGCAGATTTTGGAGTGATTATGACGATAATAACTGTGCCTTTGAAGCCTTTATGACTCTACATTTGCGTGGGTATGAGATCAAGTGTATGCACGGGCACAGGTATGTCAGTCAAAATGTCTGATTCCTTCTTTGTTGCTGTTTCTCTTCATACGAGGTAGATGTTAACTCTTACATCCGTGGACCTGGAAAAGTACTCGTAATTACACGCTCACATCAGCTTGTGTACACACATATAAACACAGCAACAGTCTTCAGTGGCACATTAAAGCCCTTCCAAAACAAATCAATGAAAGCTGTTACACAAATGAGGAAAAAGATGACAAATGAACAAGAGACAGACAGCAAAATGGATGTCGATCCAGAAGTAGGAGAAAAACGCTAAGTATCGTGAGGGAAAAGGGAGTCCTCACTTTTTATTTTTGCATTTCCTTTTTTTGTGAGCACATGGTCTTGAATCGCTTGATTGGATATTTAAAGCA